TATAAAAATTAACATATTAATATATAAAATATATTTACATACACATAAGGTCATTCGGTTAGGTTCGGGAATTTTCAATTTTTTTCATTAATTAAAAAGATCATCCCATTTTTTTGGGACGGTTATACACTTAAATAAAAGTCCACGATTTTATTGATAAAATGACGTAAATTGGTTCAGTTTGATTAGATTCGATTGTTCGGTCGATTTTTCATATTCGTTTGCCACTCCTAGCTGGCATGCTATACCTTACACCTTTTTTTGTTCTTTTTAATATTAGCCTTATTTAACTCATTAAATTTTGTTTGATAGAAAAATCTGCAGGGTATTAGATTATTTGTGATTTTTTTGTATAATGTTCAAATAAATTTCTATGCATGCAATTTACTTTTATTCTTGTAGAGACATATGTTTGATGAGTTAAATAGATTTATTATTATTTTAAAAAATGATAGTTTAATGACATGACATGTCAACTAGAATAAAAGGAGACGTTTGAGGTATCTAATACTTTTTGAGAAAAATAATAATAAGTGATTGATATTATCATCTTTAAAAAAATAAAAGTGATTCGTGTAGGCAATTTTCAAAACATAAGTAACTATTTAGGAAAACAATATAAAGTTTATGTATCGGAAAAATTCTTAAACATGCAAATTACTTCTTGATAAACTAATATATTCTTTCAAAAACAAATAATAAGATAATAATTTTAGTTAAATAGATTTATTATTTAAGAAAAAAAAAGCTTTAATGACATGGAAAATAATAATAGTTAAGTGATTATTTTATATTAAATAAAATAAAATTGATACTTAACGATAATTTCAAAACTTCAATAGCCATTGAGAAAATGAAAAAGGGTCTAAGATACACTCGAATTATTGAAAGTGGTACAAAGCCATCACCCATCCACCTATTGGCTCTCAAACAGCCCCCTTTCAACCATTTTTTGGTCGAATATTGACCACTTTTATAATGGACAGTCATTTAAATAATTTTAATATTTTAAAAAAAATATATATTATGACCATCTATAGATTATATTTTGAATTACTTAATAACATCTCACCCATTCCTAATTATATCCGATCGAAATTAACTACATCCGTTCCAAATTAACTTAATCCAAACACAGAATTGCTTCGCGTGGTAGATATATATATAATATGACCAATTGCAAAAATAATTAGTTAAAAAATTCCTAAGTACACTTAGCTAGGAATGACAATGAGGCAGGGCGACTGCGGTGGGGGTTGGTTTAAGGCTATGCGGTGCGGGGCGGGGACAGTTTGCGGGCCGGTTGAAGTGGGGTTTTTTTTAAAACAAATGCGAGGTGGGACGGGTTGCTATATGTGATTTTATGTGAGTTCAAACTTAATTTTAATTTTTTACATGTTATAAGACTAATAAAACATTATTTGTTAAGATAATTTATTTAAAGTTACTAAATTATTTAAGATAATAAATGAGAGTGGTTCAATAAAAAAAAATATAATTTCTTACACGTTTCCCAATACACCTCTAAAAATAAATTTTCAAGTCATTATCTATTAAATTAATATAACTTGATGAAAAAATGAATTTATTTTTATGAATTTTATTTTTAGTATCAAACTCAAATAGAAAAAGAAAATATTAAAAGAAATTATGCGGAGCAGGTCTATGCGTGATGGGATGGGGCGGGTTAAATATGAAAAAAGTTTTTATATGGACGGGACAAATTAAAATATTTACGGGTTAAGCTCAAGCTGCTACCCCATTGTCATCCCTATATTTAGCGAAATCATTATTCATAATGAGGGGTAAAGAAAAACAGTAATAAATATTATGATTTATTATAGTAATAAGAATTTTATGTCATCGATCAACTACGACTCTATGAGTATAGAAAGTTCTAAGAATTTGTGAAAGCAAATAGAGAGATTTCATCATCTTGAAAAGAAGAGTTGGAAGAACACCGTGCATCGTCTGTAATAAACTGCATCTATAAATTATTTTACAAATAATTAATTAGTATATTTTTGCGTAGTTGCGTAATTTTCTCATTAATTTTAAGTAAATTAAAATGTAACCAATAAATATTAATAACGTATTTAAAAAAATTAAAATTATTTAATTAACTATCCGATATAAAAATGGTTAATATTGGACCAAAAATAAATGACATTGGTATTATAATAATAAGGTTGAACCCATCGGTGACCCCTTAAAGTTGACACTAAATTTCACTTAGACACTTCAACTGGGCTTTGTTCATTTTAGACACCTTATGTAGGGTCTTGTTGGGTCATTTTGATAATTTTTTTGACAATCACCCAAATATACAAGTGTGTGTTATACACTCGTTGATGACGTGTCAAAGTGACGAATCAAACAATGACACGTAGTATATATATATAAATTAAATTTCAAATAATGACTTTTTAGTAGAAAAAAAATGGCCACATATTTGATGACATGTGGCATTTTAAACTCAAACAATAATTTTTTTTTAAAGAAAAAATCATTACCCCATGCCCAACCCAATCGTTTTCTTCAACCCACCCAACCCAGTTTTCCTCTCCACCCTTACCCACCCCAACCCCAACAGCTCCTCCACCCCACCAGCCACCAAATCTTCCTCTCCACCCCACCCACCCCAACCGCTCCTCCACAATCCACCAGATCTTTCTCTCCACCCCATCCACCCAACCCCAACCACTCCTCCACCCCACCAGCCACCAGATCGTCCTCTCCACCCCCCACCCACTCCAACATCAACCCCTTTTCCACCCATATCAAATTTTCAAGAAACACTTTCAAAAGAACTTACTTAGTTTGAAAATTTTATTTTATAAATGTGTACGATTTTTTCTTCTTTACTTCTAAAAATTAGTTATTAATTAACAACAGAAGTTTTTCTTTTTTTTGTGCAAATGATTCAAATACGTGAAAAAGAAATATCATATTATTTCGTAATGTTGAAATTAAAACTTTTAGGAAATCTTGTGGGTTGAAATTTACTTTTTTATTTGCGGCATCACTAAATCTATTTTACTACAGAAAAAAAATTAAGTTTGAGATATGGTAGCTAGAAAATGGAGAAGAATTTTTTTTTAAAATTAGTGAAATTAGGCTTTCACACACCGTAAGTGTGTATATAACACTCAGTATGTCATGTAAGCAAAACGTGTCAAAATGGTATAGCGGAAATCTAAATGAGCAAAATTCAGTTAAGGTGTCTACGTAAAATTTGGTGCCAACTTAAAGGGCCATGATGGATTCAACCTAATAATAATAATAATAATAATAATAATAATATCATATATTATAAGTGGGAACAAAAGAAAGTTAAAAGTTGAATTACGATTTTACCCCTACTATAAATTAAAATGTTATAAAAACATTTAACTATTTAATTTAAATATTAAATTGTATCGTTTTAATAAAAAAATTAATGACTTTTGCACTTCCTTAGATTAAACTCATTTAAATCGGTACATGAATCAAATTCACATTAATAGTAATTTCTCTTTTTCTGTAAAAATCAAGAGTATTTGTAGAGTTTTTCATTAAATAAATTTGATATGGACTAAAATCATTAAATTAATTTAATGCAAATTAATTTTATCTACTCAAAGGTCATCCTAGCTACTACTATAAAATGTCTAGCATGGTCTTCATGTAAATGATAAGAGGAGGATGAGAGATTATCATGCAAAAAAACTAATCTTGCTCATCATTTTGTATGTGCAGTAATTTTCTAAGTATTTTATATGTCCTTTTTTAATATTTTGATATACTTTCTTATGATTTTGTTTTCTATTGAAATATCTTGTATCCTACATGAAGAAATTAGTGATATACAATTCATGTTCTACCAATTATTGATGAAAGATTACTTAGTTAATTTGATATGTTTATTTGGCTCTTGATAGAGTGTTCTACTTTAGTATAAATATATTTTCGAGATTATTATTTATGAGTAGAGAGAGGAAAACTAAATGAGAAAAATCAAATATGATTTTTTTAAAATAAAAGAACCCATACCCTAAAATAAAATGGGCCACCGAATTGGAGATAAATGATGGATCATAGTATGTGATTTTGAGGCTATATTTTTATTTAACTTTTCGTTTATATGTATAATGTGATGAGAAGCTATTTATTGTTCATGTAAAATTTTAACTATGGCTGAAAAATTGTCAAACTCCAGTCTCCAGATTATTGACTGGACCCTTAAGTAGTTAAGTAGTAATTGTCCAAATTAGAATGTCTATTTTTGCCTTAGAGATATTATTCATGAGAATGTGATACATTCTTTTGCCTAATTATTGAATGTTAATTATTACTCATACCTATAATTTTTTAATATCAAATGGTTTAATCCTTTGTATATATTATAATTACTTATTAAAAGTGAAAACTCGAAAGTGTATAGTTGGATTATCATTTTACCCCTACACTAAATCAAATACCTAATTAATAAAATATTATATATCATTAATGTACACATGCAAGATTCAATAAATGTAAGGTTAAAAAAAACTAGATCTGCATTTGCATAGTAATTGTCCATTACTATTCAAAATTAAGAGTTGAATATGAAGAATCATTCTCCACTATTATGCAAAAACACTTTCAGAATTAAAATTTGAATTTGCTTTTTAAGAACCAATTTTACAAAGATTGATGGTATCAGAGGAAGGTAATTGCACAACCAAATTTCAACATGAGAAGAAAAGAGAGTGAGAAACTACAAATGAAGGATAATAAAAAATGTTCGAGTATATTATCTATTTAATGTTCTTCTTCGTAGTATATTTTTAATTATTTAGTGAATAAAATATAAATGGTAAAACTACTATTTTTAATTTCAGCATTTTCTATTTTATAACTGACCTTTTTAGTGTATAGAAATTTAATAATAATAAGGGACAAATGTGCGATGCACATTCCCAAAAACTAGTAATAATAATAAGTAGAAAGAGAAGTTTTGTGACATTTCAAATTGTATTGTAGGTCTTTCCCGTTTAGAAAATGAAGTCATCAAAATCATAAATTTGAGTGTGGGTGCTTCAAAAAGAAGCTTAAAACAACTTAACGAGCTCTTTCTTTGTACTTTGGAAACGATCGTGTGGCGTAAGAGTAAAAGGATATGAAGGGCGGCGAGGAATTAGGCATGAGCAGTAATGGCAAAAGCGAAGTGAAGAAGATGACAAAACCCCCTTTCAGACTGGCCAAAGATGACACAAAGCCACTTCTTCAAGACCCAGTAAGCGTTAACTTCTCAATTTCATTTAACTACTCTGCTAACTTCCTTCCCAATTAACCATCCTTGCTTTGTTTGTTTGTGTTTGTAGATACTGAGATCAGACCCAATTGAGACTGAGGAAGCTCTGTTGCGGTTGCCTCCTTTTCCAATTTCTAAACCCAAATCTCAAACCCAGTGATTTTTTTTAAATTTTGTATCTGATATTACTCAATTTATTTGGGCAAAAATTGTGTTTCTTCTATGAAATTTGAGTGTTCCGCAAAATCCCTTTTTACCCAATGTAGAACAACTGTATATTCTCTGCACAAAATATTACTAGTCCTTTGATTTCTCTGACTATCCTTTGTTATCGTATTGTTTTGTTACTATCTTCGATTTTTGTTATCATCTGATTTCAATTAGTGTCAAAGAAGCAAAGTGTGACATTTAGGAAGGACTTAAGCCTGTGAACAGATACGTCGTATAGCTTCTTCATCTAATGTTCGTCCCCTAGGAAATTTGTTTCTTTGACTAACTAATTATTTTCCGTAAATTATGTGTTTGAATTTTGGATATATTATTGCCATTGCATTCATGACATATTTCTACTAGTGGTGTTCATGTAAAGTGAAATTAAATGTTGATTTGTATTTCTTGTACTTTCGTTAAGTCTTTTTCTGGATTCTTTGCACTGTTTTTCCTTGAGCTGAGGGTCTATCAGAAACCATCTATAACTCTGAGTTAAGGTTAAGTTTGCTAACGCTCTACCCTCCCAAACCCCATATTGTTGTTGTATAGAATGAGATACCAAATAATGAAACAATCAATGTTGATGCGAGACTATTTATTCGATTCTCTAGTGTGACTCTACAATAAATAATATAAAAGCTTACCAATGTATTACTACTTTCAAGTAAATGAACATATTCAAATGATACTTCTAGGAAATTATAATGTCTTAAAGAGTAAACCTCTTGAATCTTCTACATGTATTGGCATATAAGAAGTGTGATGGAGGAGATACTTTAATCCCAAACATTAGTTGCGTTATTGTTAATCAACTCTTGGGAATGATGATAAGACCGAAAGAATGAGTCTTTACTAAATTCGGGTTTATGTTATCATCACAGAGGAACCAAAACCTCAAACAGCTTTTGTCAAAATACATATCGTTGAATGTGGTTAAAGATACCATCAATTCTCTTCCACATGTTTTCTTGTTGGAGGTATAATACAGTTCCAACTTTATTAACATGATTTCTTGATATCTAACTTAAGTTTTTGCTTTTTCAGTCTGCCCTGATATACAAATCATTTATGCCCTTAAATGTGCTGCATTGTCGTTAATCTTTTTGTGTGTATGCATTCTGTAAACCAATATGAGAGATTTCTCTATAAAGATCAGTGTATTGTAATTTTATGGGTCTAAAAATTATCTGACAAAGGACATGAGGTAACAACCGTTTGTATCATCTCTGGCTTGAAGGGGCAATAGAAGAAATCCGAGTTGTTTCTCTTCATGAAAATAAACTATTAATAATATAGGGCTTCTACACGTTAACATGAGAGTATGGTAAGCATATACAACTTTTGGATTTATACAATTAGGAATTGAATTATACAAATTTTGGACGTGACCCTCGTAAATATAGTTAAATCTTAGTGGCAAAAAATATTTTTTTCAAATTATAGCTATGATAAATCATTAACTAGTATATGTTTGCCTAATCAGGTAATTTGTTCATTAATCTAAATATAAATATAAAGCTGAATATAGAAAAGATGATGTGGCACCTTTCTATGGACAACATTTGTATTTATCTTTTTTCAATTTTTTTTTGATATTTTATTGCATATTTTGGTTAATTTATGTTATTAATTAAAGGATAACTCCTAAACCTCATAAAGCTCAATTAAGCATGTCAACCAAATGCAGTAAAAGTCCAATTAAAACTTACAGCCCACGCTGCAGTATCCCTTCATTTCTGATTTTAAGTTGTTTACGGTAATAATTCAACTAGGCATAATTAATTAGTACACTTAATACTCATTTATTTATAATTACTCAAATCCGTTAGTTTTTTTTAATGTTATGTTACTAATTCTTTGAGTACTATAAATACTAAAGAAAGTCATATGGCATAACATTCTTCCTTTTTCATTCCATGGTTTTCTTCTAAATTTTCATTATTATCTATTATTGATTTGCTCTTTTTTTCAAAAAATAAATGTTCGTTCTTTTAATTTTTTATATTTTTTTCCACAATTATTAGTTTTATATAGTGTGTTGGTGCAAAAAATTATATGTTAGGAAATAAAGTAGACTAGCATATGACATTTCTTTTAGCAATTTATCAAATTTTGTTATTTTTATTATTTATTGCAGGCTTGTACATAATTATAATTTGAACTTAGACGTAATAGATTTATTTTTTGTGGGGTAAATAACTAGCTTATCCTTTCTAGAAACAATAATACTAATTTCATATTGAATTTTGGAAATTCTTACAAGTGTGAAGAATGCGTTATCATCAGCGATATATCAATTTTTATTACTTTTTTTATTTATTGTAAAATTGTACATAGTTATAATGTCAATTGAAATGCAACAATTTTATATTTTCCAAGATAAATGCCTTATTATAATTTTAGAAATAATTATATTATTTCATATTGAATTTTGGTTATTCTTTCATTATAGGTATTAAATAAAAGCATTAGTGTGATTTTGTAGATTCTCCCAAAACAAATCACATCTTTAGAAACTTCCACAATTATTAGTTTTATATTTAGTGTGTTGGTGCAAAAATTTATATGTTAGGAAATAAAGTAGACTAGAATATGGCATTTGTTTTAGCAATTTATCAAAATTTGTTATTTTTATTATTTATTGCAGGCTTGTACATAATTATAATTTAAACTTAAACGTAATAGATTTATTTTTTGTGGGGTAAATAACCAGCTATACATTCTAGAAACAATAATACTAATTTCATATTGAATTTTGGAAATTCTTACAAGTGTGAAGAATGCGTTATCATCAGCGATATACCAAATTTTATTACTTTTTTTTTCTTTATTGTAAAGTTGTACATAGTTATAATGTCAATTGAAATGCAACAATTTTATATTTTCTAAGATAAATGCCTTATTATAATTTTAGAAATAATTATATTATTTTCATATTGAAATTTGGTTATTCTTTCATTATATTTATTAAATAAAAGCATTAGTGTGATTTTGTAAATTTTCCCAAAACAAATCACATCTTTAGAAACCTTGAATATTTCTTTCATTTCAAATATATATATATATATATATATATATATATATATATATATATATATATATATATATATATATATATATATATTTGTTAGGCAAAAGAAGAGTGATGTGACACTTTTTTTCATTAGAAATTAATTATTTTCTCCTCTCTTTTTTTTCTTAATTATTTGTTTTAGAGATCATATTCATCTTCATAACTTTTTCTATTAATTAACTAATAATTTATATAATTCACATTAAATTACCTTAATTACAATAAACCTACCAACAAGATTATATTAATAAATTAATTTTTTTTCCACAAGAGTCAAACCACGTACAAACCAAACTTCTTCCCACAAGTTGGCTCACGTTTGTACAATAACTCCTAAAGCAAAATTATAAAGTTGTTCCTTAGTGCCAATCCAAGAAAGACATTAATTTCAATGTTTTTTAGTGTGCATAATTTTTTTAAAATTAATCATTAATTTTTTACTTAATTTTGTTTATAATAATTACTTTATGGGGTTCTATTTAGAATATATATATATTTTTGATTGATCTCCTTTGCGTTTATTGTTTTACCTAGCTAAATAATTTTTTCTTCATTTAGATAGGTGCTATTGGAGATGTGATGAACTATATCAAAGAATAAAAACGTCGAAACAAAATGTCTATAAAAATGAGTTGAAAAGGTATTTTATTTTCATTATTTTGCATATTTTGAAGGTTTAATTTTAGTTTAAAAGACAATATCCATAAATTTATATACTATTTCTTAATATTATATGCAAAAAAAATTAATTTATTAAATTTTAGTTGTTTTAATTTTACTTTTATTTTATAACTCCTAAAACTTTCTTGATCAAAAGTTTTTCTAAAAGAACATCTAAATTCATTATTGAATGCTAACTTGCTAACAATCATTTCATAATTTCACTAATATGTTGACTTTTTCCATCAACATGTTAATTGGTAATTAGAGTGATTTATATTTTAAATTTTTTTTTTGTACATCTTAAAATCATATTAGATCATTTATAAATGATTCAATCATCATATTATTTCTATCATACCTACGACATTACACGTAACGAGAGTATTATCTCTTAGGCTTGCATTATCAAGTTTTGACGTTTTCTTTTCTCTTCCATTACTTTTTTTTAGTGAAGTTAATATTATGAATTAATTTAAATGAATTACTTTAATGACTCACATATATTCATTCGGTCAAATATCCATATATATATTTAAATGATCATGAAAAAAATCGTGAAAAAATGTTTCATTATAATTACGTTTATTTATAAAATTTGAATAATTAATATTTATTTATATTTTATACTGTTTTAGGACTGCGCGAAGCGCGGCCAAGTGCACTAGTTTTAAATAATTTAAAATGTAACCAATAAATATTCGCTGTGTATTTTTTTAAAAAAACATCTAACATTATTTAACCCAAAAATAAATGTTGGATTTTTGTAACATTTCGAGTGGTATTTTTGTTCGTTTGCCATTTAGAAAATCTTACTCATCAAAATCATAAATCGAGGGTGGTTGCTTCAAAGAAGCTAAAAATTATTAAGGAGCTATTTGTTTGTAATTTGGAAAAGAGTAAAAAAGGATATGAAGGGCGGGGAGGAATCAAGCATGAGCAATAATAGAAATACTAACAACAATGGCAAAAGCGAAGTGAAGAAGATGACGAAACCCCCTTTCAGGCCGGCCAAAGATGACACAAAGCCACTTCTTCAAAGACCCAGTAAGCATTCCTTTCTCCATTTCATACCCAGTAAGCATTCCTTTCTCCATTTCATTCAACAACTACTCTGCTAACTTCCTTCTCAATTAATCATATTTTCCTTGTTTATTTCTGTGTGTAGATACTGAGATCAGACCCAATTGAGACTGAGGAAGCTCTCCTCCGCTTGCCTCCTTTTCCTATTTCTAAACCCAAATCTCAAACCCAGTGATTTTTTTTATTTTTTTTTATCTTTTTATTAATTTTGTATCTGATATGACCCAATTTATTTGGGCAAAAATTGTGTTTTTGTGTAATTTGAGTGTTCTGCAAAACTTTTTATAAAC